TTATTTTTTTTATTATTGGTTGTTCAATTTTTTTTTTATTATTATTGGTTGTTCAAAAGGTTGCATTATTTGATGTTATGGTAGGGCTTGTGTTCTTCCCACTGCCTGGGTTAGTGCTAAGAGCAGACATTGTCTTCAGCTGCAGGAAGAAATGGCATTTGGAGAAACTAGAGGTGCCTGTAAGTAAGGACACTTGACAAACTGACCAGTACAGCTCTGAATTCATTTACAGCTTCTCCTTTGAGGCAGGCTGTGACTACAGTGCTGTATTTCCCCTTGCCAATAGCCCATTGAAAGTGGAGGTGACCAATCTCTGTGTTTATATTTTATGCTTCTATCATTAAAAAAAAAGCAAGAAAAAAGTATGTCAAGTCTCTTAAATTTATTGTATCCTGAAAAACTGAGGGTTATAAATGCATACTTTTGGAATACCGATAAGTATCTTTTTTTTTTAGTTGTTAATGGACCTTTACTTTATTTGTTTATATATGGTGCTGAGAATTGAACCCACTGCTTCATACGTGCTAGGCAAGCAGTCCACCTCTGAGCTATACAGCCCAGATATGTATCTTTGTACAGCCAAAGTGTTTCAATATAGACCATAAAATTTCACCAAGGAAGAACTGACTTTATATACAAGATTCCTCAAGTACTCAGAGAAGGGATTTCCTTTTGCAAAGTCATCACATTTGTACTCTGAATATTTGGAGAAATGTCCATCCCTTCGCAATGTATTTAAAATCGGGAGGCTGTTGTTATAGGGAAAAAGCTTCCTCTTTTTCTGAGTAAGAATTTGGTGCTTTGGACAAGATGTGCATTCTCTCCCCTGAATGGAACATCAGCTCTTGTTACTAGAAGAGTTCAAAAATGAAAACAAATGCTTGCTTCTTCAGTTACTAAAAAATAAATAAACAAGGGTGTTAATTTCTGGGTCAAATGCCAGCATAAAAAGCCCAAGACTACACAGCATCAAAACTTTCAATGTCATAATCTCTGCATTTATTAATTGTGTTGCATCAAATTTTACTTCAACAAAAAACAAAGTTGAAAATCCTTTCATTTGTTTAGGGGGAAAAAAAAACCACTAAAGATGATCAAATTAATGTAAGGTGAAGATGAAAAATATAAACTCTAGAGTTTGATGCCTAGATCAGATCTCACGTCAGTCATTTATAGATTGTGTGAATTTTTAAACATACTATAATATTTTGTTTTTTTGATTTGGGCAGTAACAATAGATACAGTGATAGAAAACTCCTTGAGGTTGGGGGTGCATTGCTGTGACTGGAAAAGGGCATGAGAGAACCAACCTTCTGGGGTGATGGAAACATTTGTATCTTAATTTTCATGGAAGTTCCATTCATTTGTCCAATTGGCTCAATTTTATACTTACAGTAGAGATATTTTACTGTATGTGAAGAACAAAGATCCTGCCTTTGTCAGCTTTTCTGCCACACTGACCATAAAGACCTGACAAGAACAATTAGAAGAGGAAAAATGTAGTTGGGGCTCATAATTTCATAGGTCTCCAGTCCATAGATGGCTGACTCCATTCTCAGGACCTGAAATAAAGCAGAATATCATTGTGGAAGTGTATGGCAGAGGAAAGCAGCTGGGGACATGGTATTAGGAAGCAGAGAGAGAGGACAAAATATAAACTCCAAGGGTATGTCCCCAGAAACCAACCCACCTCCTCCAGCCACACCCCACCAAGTTAATCTCTATTTCAGGGTTAAACCTCTGATAACTCAATCATTTCATCTCTAAACTGTCTTGCATTGTCTCACACATGAGCTTTTAAAAGGGGGACACCTCACATCTAAATCATAACAGACCCACAATCGAATCTTGCCAGCCTTTTGCTCAAAATACCTTGAAGGTTTTTCATTGCTTTCAGTGAACACCTTACATCTGGCCCTGCAGCCTCTCTGACCCCATCTCATGTCACTTTCCTGCACTGTCACCCATCTTCACTGTCACAGCCCTTCATCTGGCTCCTTCATGTGTCTCCTACCACAGAGCCATTCATTGTACATGCTTTGCCTCTGCCTGCAGTGCTCTCCCCACCAGGGAAGATGGTGTGATTTTGGCCAAATTACTTAAGAATCTTTGGGCTTCAGGTGATTCATCTGTAGAATAGTTTATAATTAAATAATAAATATTAAAAGATTTTCTGGGGGCTAGTGTGAGAATGAAATGAGATAATGTCTGTAAAGTGCTCAGCATAGGGCTGGGCTAAATAAGAGTTCAATAAACAAAAGCTGGTTGAAACCTCCTAAATTACTGTGAAGAATGAAGTGCAGTCTAAATATCTGTTAACTAATGTATATTGCACACACACACACACACATATGTAAGTGAAAATATTTTACTATAGTGCATTTTGTTGACAGTATTTGGAACACTTGTCCTTTCTTAAGGTCAGGAACTGGGTCCTGGACAGGGGCATCAGACATTGGCTCTGGTTTTCTAGTTCCATTGACTGCACTCCTGGGGCAGTGACATTTTCTGGTCATCTGCCTTCGGTTAGGGGAATGACTAGGCAATAGGCACGAGTGATATAATTCTGCTGACTTTGGGTTTTCCTTTCAGTTGTGAATGACAAAGAAATGCAATTAGCAAGGGCTACTTCAGCTTTGTCAGATGAGTTATAGAAGGCGTCACGCTTTTTTGGGCTGCTTTCATTGCTGCTATGTTAAATATTTTAGTGATTGCACAGTTTGAAGACAGTGTAAACCAGAAACTGGTAAGGCTGTGGTACTCAGATAGATCTCTTTTGTGTATTAGAGAGTGTCATCTGTTGTTCATTCTATTACACACATGCTGCAGTGCTAACAGGAACACTAATGGTAACAGTAGCTAACATTTATTTGAGTGCTTACTATTTACCAGGCATGGTTAAACCATTCTTTATATATTAACTCATTTAATACTCACTATATTATCATTCCCATTTTATAGTAATTAAAAAGTAGGCCTGACTGATTTAGGAACTTTTCCAAGACTATACAGCATCAAGCCTTTCATCAATCAAAAATTTTTAATTCTTCTACATTATTCATTATTTTATATTAATTTTTAGAACATAATTAAAGTGATCAATTTCTTCGAGTTCTGCATGGGGATATTTTCCTGGAGGTGGAAAGAAAATGTTCATTAAGCTTTCTAAGTTTGGAGGCTCATCTAGTTTAAAGTAGGACGCTCATATCAAGATTGCTTTAGCTCAATTGTCAGGAACCCTCTGAGATCATTAAAAGACAGTTTTATACTTTGTAAAACTAAGACAATGAATAGGGCTAGAAGTTAGAATATTCTGCTAATGGATGCTGGACTTTTGGGGGGGGGGGTTAGTTTTTCCCTACGTTTCTTAGGATGGTCTTGAATTCTTAGGTTCAAGTGATCCTCATGCCTCATCCTCCTAGTAGCAGGGACTACAGGAGCACCATTGCTCTGGGTTTGTGGCTTCTTTATTTTTTGAGTGAGACATTTTTATTGATTTCCAAGCCAAAAACAAGTGTGTGTGTGTGTGTGTGTGTGTGTGAGAGAGAGAGAGAGAGAGAGAGAGAGAGAGAGAGAGAGAGTTAGTTTTCAGGAATGATTAAAATTCAGGGGTTGGGAATGGGGGAGGTGAGAGAGAACAGAGATGACCAGACTTCACAGTTGGATCCTTTGTGAAATGAGATAAGATTATAAAACAAATAATAAACAAATAAAATTCCTGCAGGGCTTCCCATTCACTCTCTGAACTGACCAATGGCAAACACCCTTCTTCAAGAGTCTATTCCTCAGTCTCTTTCAGAGTCCTGGAAATGGTTTCAGTTGGGATAACTTTTACTTGGAACAGGGCCTGTTGTTAACTGGAGAATCTTTATTTGGATGAAACCATGTAGGTCAGGGGATTGAACTGAGAGTTATCAGGTCATAGTGTCAGGGACAAATGGGGTTAGTCAAATATTCTCTTCAATGGGGAATGAGAAAAGCACACAATGGCCACTGGACTTGTATCTACCACTGAGTAGACCAGTCTATGAGTGCTGGGTGGGAGTGCCATGTTACTAAACCATGATGGGGTTCTCCTGAGGAAGGCCTTTGGCTCCCTGGCAGGAGAGATAAAGTGAAGATCCCAAAGGGAACCCAGAGGATGCCACTCTGAGAGAGGGAGGGAGGGAAGGAGAGAGAGAGAGAGAGAGAGAGAGAGAGAGAGAGAGAGAGAGAGAGAGAGAGGGAGGGAGGTATGGAGGGAGAGAGAAAGAGAGGGAGGGGGGAAGGGGGGGATCCTGATGCCTTTATGAGGCTTTGAGGAAGAGGAGAGGATAAAATAGCTTTTCCACGGGTGGTAATGGAACGGGGTGGGGATGGGTACTGAGTGAGGGATGAGCTCACATTTAACAATAATGTAAGCAGGAAGCACCCGTAAAGGCAGGGTTGGCCCAAGCTAGTGCTCTTCGGCCTTACTACTGCTTAATATGGAATCTGTACTGCAACCAGCGTCTGGGCACGTAGGCAGAGGTGTCCACGTCCACCACAGTGAGCACACCCACAGCAGTCAAGGTCCTTATCATTAAGACTCAGCAGAATATTGGCGGGAGGGCCTGGAGAAGCAGGTGATGGGTGAATCCCACCTCTGCAGGGGGAGGAGCGGTCTGTGAAGATTGACATTCGGACACAACCCCCTCCTCTCTGCACCGCTCGGTCCCAGAAGGAGGCACAGTGGCTGGTGGCCACCTGCCAAGTCAGGCCCAGGCCGCGGAGGTGGCGTAAGGCTCTTCAGACACCGCCGCCGCTGCCACTCCTTTAGACTCTGGACGTGCGTGGACCGGGGGCGCTCTGCCTCTGCCTTATAAAAAAGCGTCAGGGCAGGGCGGGCCTGGCACCCGGGAGGCGGGTACCAGGCCTCAGCAGAGTCCGGGCGGCCGCGCCTCGCCCCCACCTGTTGCGGAGGCAGGGTCTGCAGTGGCTCGGGCGCGGCTGGCTGGGCAAGTAGGTGTGCGGTTGCAAAGATGGGCCGCTATTCAGGCAAGACGTGCCGGCTGCTCTTCATGCTCGTGCTCACCGTGGTCTTCTTCGTGGCCGAGCTGGTCTCGGGATACCTGGGCAACTCCATCGCGCTGCTCTCGGACTCCTTCAACATGCTCTCGGACCTGATCTCGCTGTGCGTGGGCCTGGCCTCCGGCTACATCGCCCGGCGCCCCACCCGAGGCTTCCGCGCCACCTACGGCTACGCGCGCGCGGAGGTGGTGGGCGCGCTGAGCAACGCGGTCTTTCTCACCGCGCTCTGCTTCACCATCTTCGTGGAGGCGGTGCTGCGCCTGGCCCGGCCCGAGCGCATCGATGACCCGGAGCTGGTGCTCATCGTCGGCGCCCTGGGGCTGGCCGTCAACGTGGTGGGGTTGCTCATCTTCCAGGACTGCGCCGTCTGGTTCACCTGCTGCTGCCGGGGCCACCGTCGCCGCCTGCAGCAGCGGCAGGAGCAGGCTCTTGGCGACCCTCCCGGCGCTTTTGGGGGGCCCCAAGGCGCCGAGGGCCAGCAGCATGCTGCGACCCCGACGGCCCCCCGCTTGGACTCAGCTGTGACCCTCCGGGGGGCTTCGATCGAAAGAAAGCAGAAGGGGGCGACCGTATTCTCAAATGTAGCAGGTGCCTTTCAGTTGCATCCTTTGGACCGTTTTGCCCTTCCCTCCTTCCTCTTTCCTCCTCCCCTTTCCTCCTCCCCGGTCTCTACCTCCTTGTCCCTACCTCCTTGTCCCACGCCCTCTTTTTTTTTTCCTCTGATTTTTTAAAATCATTTTTTTGTAGTCCTCTTACTTATCCTAACTTAACATTTTCCACTATTTTTTCCTCTTTCTCTCTCTCTCTCTCTTTTTTTTTTTCGCTGCTGGATCTTTTGGCCTTTATCTTGTTTTTCCTTCTTTGCATTCTCTGTATGTGGAAGTATTGATTTTCTTGGACATCAGGTCTTATTATTGGGCAACAGATAGCTCTCTTGGTCCTGTGTCCCCTTCATTGGTTGTGTCTGAACTTTGTTTTTTCCTCCCCCTTTGCCCATCTTCTGTCTCTTCTGTTATGGGTTTTGGGGGTTGGGGGTAGGCTCCTACTTGCTCCCTTTTTTGTTTTAACATGAAAGGAAGTGGGAATGAAGTCCAAAGATAGATCACGGGCTCTTTCAGAGCCCAAATGTACTGTTCTGGGCTATGTGTGTGCAGAGGTAGGGGCTCCCATATGCTATTAGGAATGTAAAATAACACAACTTTGAGTCCATTGGTTTTTTTTGTTTGTAGAACTTATACACAACACAAGGTTTCTTCTTTGAATGCAGGTGATTCCTTGAACACCCCGAATGAGCCTGAAGAGACTATGAAAAAGGAGAAAAAGTCTGAAGCCCTGAATATCAGAGGTAAGATTGACTTTGAGCCACTTTGAAATCCTTTTCATTGGTACATGTGGACTGTGCTGTGCTCTTCATTTGTGTTTGACTTTGAATAAGGCAATAGTGTGTTCAAAAGTAGGCCAGTTACCTGTACAGACTATGACCCTAGTCTCTTGCCTAATCACTGCATTGATTCTGAAGGAGGAACTAGTTGCTAATGATTTATCTTTGCTCTGGTTGAACCCATAATAATGCTGCTTGCTCCCAAGCTCCCATGTATCAATGCCAAGTTATTGCTTTATTTGACTTTGTCCAACAATGGATATTGTTAACATACAATGCACCCAATTTCATTTATTTTTAAAAGGCTGTGTGTGTGTGTGTGTATGTGTGTGTGTGTGTGTGTGTGGTGTTAGGGTTTGAACCCAGGGCCTCATGCATGCAAAGCACATATTTTACCTTGAGTTATGCCTGCAGACCTAATTCAGTCTTTCTTAATTGAATATGATTTTGATAAAGATAAGATAAGAGTAGGTGGACCTCTATCCAAGGTTATACCCTGCGTGGCTTTGCTGAATGACTCTGTGGCCTGTTATTTCTGCCAGAAAACTGCTCTTGTGAAGGAACTGTCAGTTCACAAAACCTCCATTTTTAGGTCCACAGTGAGGATTCTGGTGAAGCCTGTGGAAGGCTTCTAATCACATGTCAGCAGCACTGGGCTAAGGTCAACCCTTTGGATTCTGAGGTCTGTTTCTCACTGGACACTACTGTATCCAACACACCTCCTTTCCAATTTATTGGGCCCAGATTTTGTTTTAGAGTGGTTGCAATAGTGGTTAATCCCCAATCTTTGAGAATTTCAACAAGATTTAAGCAATTATTTACTTTTATATGGTTTTGGGGAAGCCTATTGTGAGGCATAGTTGGAAATAATATAATGATAAACCAATAATCTAGGAGACGCCTACTTTATTGAGAGTCTCACATCTGATTTATAAAGTGATTCTCAGAATGGAGCTACAGAGAAAATCCAGAAACAACACAGGAGCTCCTAAAAGTCTTTAAAGCAATAAATAAATAAATAAAAAATAAATAAATGCAACAGAGGAATTTGCTTCTTTGAAGAGCTTGATAGCAAATCTTTTTAGAAAGAATCTGTAATAAAAAAAAATCATTATCCTTTCATTTGTTTTTCTTTTTAAAGGCTCAGTTTAATACCCACATGGACATGGTAGATTTTTTTAAGGTACAGGTAACGATTGTAGCACTTTAGCTTTTTGAAGCACATCCTAGTCATTGATTACCTTCATTCTTCTGTTACAAAGTTGAAAAAGAGAACAGGTAGGTGGAAAGAAGTGACAAAGAATGAAAAGTAGACCTCAACTGACATTGTGACCTTGTTTAAGAAACATGCATGATCTTGATAATGTTTAGTCTTCAGCTATTGGGGTTCCTGGGTAGAAAAATGTCTGCAGTAAAATGCCTTCCTTTTCCTGGCTGAGCCTGTGCTCCACAGACACTAAGAAAAGCATCCATCTGGCTTCTGAGAAGGTGAAGATTGCAGTGGACAAAAGACAAGTATTTGGCTTTAGGCTGCTTGGGTTTGGTTCCCAAGTTATCATATGCCCTGGATTTCCAGTTCCCTAATCTTTAAAATAAGGATAACGGAACCCACCTCATGGGCTTACTAGGTATGAGATAAAACATATAAAGCACTTAGCCTTTTAGTAGGAAAATGTGCTAATGTATTTATTGAGTGCTACTTTGTGCCAGGCACCATTAATGAGTAAGCCATGTAGTGGTCACAGCAATCTTCCTAGGTAGATACTGTTGGTATTCAGCTGGAGTGAAATGGCTGGGCTCAAACCCCTTCTGATTAAGTAAGGGTCAGCTCAGATCATCCTGCTACTGCTATTTTTTTTTTTTTTTCTAGAAATGGAACCACAGCCTTGCACATGCTAGGCAAGAACTCTACTGCTGAGCTACATTCTCTGCCCTTTTTATTTTATTTTATTTTGAGATAGGATCCTGCTAAGTTGCCCAGCCTGTCCTCAAACTTGGGATCCTCCTGCCTCAGGCCCTTGAGTAGCTCGGATTACAGGCATGTGCCACAATGCCTAGCTTCCTGCCCATTCTGATGAATATCCTCGCTATGGCTAAATAGAGCCTTTCCACATCTCAAGCTGTGTGAGGCTGGCCTCACTTAGACCTTGTAGCTTTATGTTGGAGCCACAATTAAGGGAAGGACTGCAGAACAAATGTTAGGGATAGAAAGATGTTAGAGAAAATGGACTTCAACTTTTCTACTTTACAAATGAGGAAATAGGGTCCAGAGTATTTGGCGGTTGCCTCCAGTCACCCTGGCTAGCAGCAGAGGTAGGCCTGGGATCCTGGGCTCCTCCTTCACATTGCTGGATCTTTTCATGATCACACACTGACTTCCAAATGGGAATGGCTTGCTTCTCTAGTATACACATGCAGCCCAGTGGTTACATTTCTAACATCTAAGCAATTGCTTTAGAAAGCAGGATTGCTGCTCTCTCCAAATTTGCAAAGGAAACATCTAATGGGCTTTCCTGTGAACAAAAATCACTTCTTGATTTTCATTACTGTTTCTCTCATTCCAATGGGAATAATAAAATTTAAAAAAACAATGAATTCTAAGAAACACATTCCATCTTCTGCTGCAAAGTATTGTGAAAACAGCATCCTTTTAAAATTCTCACCATTGTGTTTTATTTAATAGGCTCAAACATGAAACATTAAAGTGTTGTAGCAGAGTGTCAGAAAGACAATTAGCCCCTTAATTTTAGTATAAACATAAATAGACGAATAGCAATCTTGACATCACCTGAAAATAAATCCCCTTTGATAAATATTTCTTTATAATTCTTGCCTTTGTCCAGTAAGAAAGATCTCATCCTTTTATAAACCACCTGTATATGCTCAGTACAAATGAACTGTGTTTGTAGTTATTGAACAAATTCAACAGGACCAGTGGCTTTTTCATGTGCTGGGACACTTATCAAATTTCAGTATATGTCAAATTGCCAATTTGTGGTATATGCCAGTTTTTTTTCCTCCCCTGGTTTTATGGAAAGTCAATAAATGAAGGCCAAGTGCAGAGGTTCTCCTTTTTTTTTTTTTTTTTTGCCAAACAACCGTGTAAGCATAGTGACTGGTCAGGTGGTCTAGTTGTTCACTAAGTGGTGATCTTTGTCTCTCAGGTAATTTGCCAGGTTTATTTTTCTGCATCACAATGTGATCACATTAGAGTCTGTTCAGAAATCTTCACAGCTTCTAGATAAAGGTCTAAACTCCATGACCCTCAGTGGTTTGCTGTCCTGGTGCCAACATTCCTTTCTAGACATTTTCTGCCTTTCTCTTACCCCCTTCACTGCCTTGCCTTCCCTATAGCCCTTCATTGGTTTACCTCCTGCTCCCCAATAATGTGTAAGTAGAATGGGGTGAGAAGTGATCAGACTCTGGTGCCAGGCAGATCTCATCTGGATTCCAACTCTGCCTTTTTCCTAGGTGGGTGACCCTGGGCATGTAACTTCACCTCTTGGGTGTTGGTCTCCTGATCTGTATCGTGAAGATGATGGTATCAGCCTCCTGGTGTTCTTGAGGATTACATGGGTGCTTGGAACAGCATAGAGGACTCACAAATGATACCATTATTGTCATCACCTCCTGCTAAGTTCTCATCATTTTATATAATTCTAAGGGATTCATAGTGGTACTTCTCAGGAGGAAAACCTGAAATTGAAATTTAGAGGGGGCTGGGGATGTGGCTCAAGCGGTAACGCGCTTGCCTGGCATGCGCGGGGCGTGGGGTTTGATCCTCAGCACCACATAAAATAAAGATGTTGTGTCCACCGAAAATTGAAAAATAAATATTAAAAAATATTCATTTAAAAAAAAAAAGAAATTTAGAACTTACACGAGGCAGGTTGTGCAGTGGTCCTTTAGTCAGACTTCCCAGGCTTCTGTCTCTTAACACTTTCTAGCCATGTGACCTTGGACAAATTACTTAGCTACTCTGTGCTTCAGTTTCCTTATTTGTGAAATGAAGCACTTAACCACCTCAGAGAGCCCTTAAGAAGACTTACTGTATAAATAAGGTTAAAACAATGCCTGGTACTTACTTTTCCATTAACATTACAAAGATCATTACTATTATTATTGTTACTAATATTTTCATGGTTCTGGGGATTGAGCCTAGGGCTTTGAACATGCAAAGCAAGCACTCTAGAAGTGAGCTAACCCCCAGCTCAATTATTATTATTTTCACTTATTATTAAAGACAGGAGTTACTCTATGTCATAGGAATTATGACTTATGAACCAGAAAATGTTGTCTTATTGAGTAGACATTCTCTGCCTTCAGTGCAAAGAAATTCAGTGTCATGACTGACACTCATGTCACTTACAGTCTAATGGAGGAAACGAGGCTCACATGCATGAATCTACCAGGGAATAACAGACTGTCTCAGGTTGTGAGAATGACAAGTAAGTGTAGGAACCATTAGGTTTTCCTCTTTGAGTGCAGCACTTTGTGCTGTCCTGAAGAAAGTTAAGCCTTCAATTTTCGGTTCTTGCTGAGGGAACTGGGTTGATAGGACAACTCTGAGAAAGTCCTGAGTCTCTCTTGCCTGGCTCAGGAGAGGAACTGGGGAGGAAGAAGGGCTTTTGGGATGGGTCGGGGAGAGGAGGCACAGAAATAGAAAGTGGGAATCTTTCATGTAGATATTGTATCAGAGTCTCAGACAAAAGGAAATGTGGGCAGCCTGCCTACCTGCCTTGCTTCCTTTTGCAGTGCTGTAGAGTAAACCCAGGAGGACCTGCACATGCTGGCAAGTGCTCTACAACTGACCTACACCCCCACTTTTTTTGATGGGGGTGGTCGGCTACCAGGGATTAAACTCAGGGGCACTCGGCCACGAAGCCACATCCTTAGGACCTATTTTTAATTTTTAGAGACAGGGTCTCACTCATTGGTGAGGCTGATGGAACTTTTGATCCTCCTGTCTCAGCCTCCCGAGCCACTGGGCTACAGGCATGTGCGACCACACCTGGCTTGTTTTTGTTTTTTTTAATACCTGTATTTTTTTTTTGGAGGGGGGGGTGGGATTGCCATGAATTACACCAAGAATATTTGTAGAATGCCATTTGAACTGGGATGTTAGAATCCTGAATGTGCTGCCAACAGGAGGAATTAGCCCCATGAAAGCACCTTCCATGGGAAGCTATTTAGCCATGAGTGCATTGTTAGTAATTTGGATTGTTATTAATTCTTCTGAGTGGACCTGTTGGATATGTGGAGAGAGAAGCAGACCTTTCTTAATCTATAGCTTTCTTCTAGAGCAGTGCTTTGAAAACTTTTATATGCATTCAAATCACCTGGGGATCTTGTTAAAATGCAAGTTTGGATTCAATAGCTCTGTGATCTTGAATGAGTTATTTAGCTACTCTGTGCTTCAGTTTCTTCATTTGTAAAAATGGGGATTCTTCATTTCCTTTCTCCTTTTCTCCTCTTCCTCCTTCTTTCATTTTTTATATTTATTTTATTCTGAATTTATTCCCTGTCTTCTGGTTTAGGAACAGTTTGTTCTTTTTCATTTTAGTGTAGCAGGGGAGCTCAAGTGACTCTGACTATGAGCTCTGAGAGGTGGTACAGCTGGGTGTTTTGTTCATTGGGTGTGTTCCATGACCATAGACTCTGCATCTAAACCCTTAAGTTCAGCATTACTCTCCGCTTATTTAAGCATATGCAGCAAAAATTCAGCACTGTTTTTGGGCCACCAACCCAGTGTTCAGCCCTACTGCTTGGCCCAGGCACACCTGCCAACTCCATCATTCACATATTATTTCTTTAAAGTAACATCTTTTGGACATGAAGTGGCTTTCTGGATATGCATATCATCCTTAATGGCCTGGGCAGTTTCTCAGGTGATTATTAAAATGAGCATGAATTTTTGAACCTCTTGATTTGCATGATTTTTTGGAGGCTTCTGGGTCAATTGAACTTGAGCCATTTTTAGATTACTTCCAGCTGCTTCTAGGAGGGTGAGTGAGACCCTGCATCTCTAACGAGCTCTCCTGAGCTGCATTGCTGCTGGCTTGGAATAGCAAGATACTACTTTCTGTAACACAAAGGCTTTGTGTTTATATTTCATTACCCATCTTACCAGATTTTTGCTGAATTTACTAAATGTCAGTTAAGTTGATGTTTAACAATCAGTTGGGCACCTGGATCTTCTTTGTTGACAATTGCTTATTTTCTATATCATAATTGATGCATTTAGAAACAGTTCTCTTAATCCAAGATATCCATGATTTTTATTATTATCTGTGGAATTTTAATTTGATTTGGATTCAATTTTTGATTGTGACAAATGGCTCTTTATGTGGTGGACATTTTGCTGGAGCCCTTTTTCTTGAGAACTGCTTATATAGCAAATGCGATTGAAATGACTAAGTGAGGTTAAGTGAGAAGTAGGCTTACAGGGAAGGGGGGGAATGGATCATGGCAGAAGGAAGACAAAGGACATAACTTAATTCTGTCTCCTTTTAAAAATACTTTAAATAATTTGAAGTATGGATGCTTGTCTGAAAGAACAAGAAATTTACACAGCCTCTGTTTTCTGGCCTGGTGCCCTTTGAAGGTGGGTGGTAGTGAGGTGAACCTCTGAGATGGCACAGTCACTCTTCCTGCAGGTGACAGTCAGCCCAGATTCTCCCAGGCGGTTCCTCTTCAGTGGTTCCCTGGGCCCTGGGATGGTGGCCGGGGCTTTTCTTTTCAGGAAATCAGTTGCTAGCACAATTCACAATAGCTAAATTGTGGGACCAAGCCAGATGCCCTTCAGTAGATGAATGGAAAGGGAAACTGTGGTATATATACACAATGGAATATTACTCAGCATTAAAAGAGAATAAAATCATGGCATTTGCAGGTGAATGGATAAAGTTGGAGAATATAATGCTAACTGAAGCAAGCCAATCCCCCAAAACCAGAGGCTGAATGTTTTCTTTGATATGAAGATGCTGACTCATAATGGGGCGGGGAGCCTGGGAGGAATGGTGGAACTTTAGATAGGGGAAAGGGGAGAGAGGGGATGGGAGGGAGAAAGAAGGTAGGAATGATGGTGGAATGAGTTAGACATCATTACCCTAAGTACGTGTATGAAGACATGAACGGTCTGAAAATACTTTGTGTACAATCAATGACTTGAAAAATTGTGCTCTATATGTGTAATATGAAATGAATGCATTCTACCATCATGAATAACACATTAGAATAAATAAATAATTTAATTTAAAAAAGGAAAATCAGTTGCTGTTGTTTTTGATTATGATTCATTCTGCTGTTCAGATAAAAAAACAAAGCAAATAGCAATGGATATTCATATATTTGAAAATCCAAGGGTGACACAGCTCGGGCTGCCAAACTTCGATCTGTTTCATTGGTTTCTCTTTCTTCTTGTCAGGTGTTCTTTTGCATGTGATGGGAGATGCCCTGGGGTCGGTGATTGTGGTCATCACTGCCATTATATTCTATGTGCTGCCCCTGAAAAATGAGGACCCGTGTAACTGGCAGTGCTACATCGATCCCAGCCTAACTGTTGTCATGGTCATCATTATTTTGTCATCTGCCTTCCCACTCATCAAGGAGACTGCTGTCATTCTCCTGCAGATGGTCCCCAAGGGAGTCAACATGGAAGAGCTGAGTAAGTAGACTGGATTCTGATCTAGAACCAATGTCAGCTGAATGTCATTTCAGACCAAAGGACCAGCATTATGGCAGAGCATTATGTATTCTGAAATACGTGAAATCACCATGCAATAGAGATGTCCCTCATGTGGTTTGCAGCCTAGCAAGATGATTCATAGCTCCAAGATCCAAAGGTCCTTTGTAAGCCATGATTCTCTGATTCACCTGCAAAAATTTTGATAACATAGTACTTGGGTAGCACCTACTTCTGGGCTATTTACATTCACTTCAAAGATTTATTTTAATTCAAGGCCACTTCTGCTAAAAACTTGATTTTATTCCCTTTTTTATTTTCTGAAAACACAAATCATTCATATTCTAGATCCTGCTTTCTAGTTAGTTGACTTCTGTGGATGTCTTTCATTAGACTCTGGGGTGCCTCTGGGGTTAAAAACTTTTCAGATTTTGTAGAATTTTGAAATATGAACTATTAAGATGTTGGTGGGAAACTGAGTATATGACTTTATTTCTAAATGGAGATTACATTTTCATAGAACAAAATTATTTCATGTGTATTATTTATTTGTCATTGCTTTATCAATGAGCAGTAAATTTGAAATAGAGACTGGAAGACTTTATTTCATGACATATACCTGAAATTCAATTAAATGAATCCAAAATACAGTGAATAGCTGTGGTTGGACTGTCTCCTAATAGAGGGGTGATTTGCAGTGGGCTTTTTTTTTTTTTTTTTTTTTTGCAGTGCTAGAGATTGAACCCAGGATCTTGTACATGCTAGACAAGTACTCTGTCACTGAGCTACATCTCTAGACCCTCTTTTATATTCTAGGGCTTGATCATAGGGCCTCACACATCCTAAGCACATGATCTACGACTGAGTTACACCTCCAGCTGCAGCTGGCTGTTCTTTGAAGGCTATGGCCTTGCCAGTGCTGTGTTCACTTAGCATGCGTCGGTGCCAATCTGTGGAGCCACTGCCAATAGCTGAGACTCCTCCTGTGCTCTTTTTTTCCTGGATGTTCTATTTGTCTTTTTTGGCCTTTTCTCTGGCAATGTTGTCTCTAAAAAGCCAGTGAGGTATGGTTAATTCTTTGGCTGCTTTAAAATTTGAATCAGAGCACCTACTATTTGCCCAATGCTACAGGCAGACGCAGTGGTGCAAATGGAAGGGAGACATAGATGAGCAGGCATTCATGCTTTTGCCTCCCCCCGGGATCTAGCTTGTTTCTCAGTTAAGAAAACAAGATAAATATATATGAAAGTCTGTGATAGTATACTGGCTATGCCTTTAAGTAAGATCATAATATATTTTAAAATATATTTGAAAGATAATAACAACAGCAATACTTATAAACCTATTACATGCTAGGTACTGTTCTAAGAGCTTTACTTACGTTGATTCCTTCCAATCCTTAAAATAATCCCATGTGGTACCATTATTATCATTCCTAATTTACATATCAGGAAAATGAGGCACAAAGGGGCTAGGTCAGTTGCCTAAGGTCATGTAGGTTGTCAGAGACTATACTAGGATTCCAATTCTAGTTGGCTTCAGAGTCTTTTCTCTTAAACACTGTTCCATATCATCTCTCTAAATACACACTAATTTTAGAAAATATGAAAAATACACAAAAACCTAAATAGTGTAAAGAGATTCCATATAATTTGATCATGGAAACTGTCACCCTTAGTATTTTTTTTCTATATACAAACTTTTTAAAAAAGATCATGCCATATATATAGTTTAGCTTCTTTGCTCTTTTACTTAAAAATACCTATTTGCTTAAATATGCACTTGCTTTTAACAGGTATATCATCTTCTATAGTATAATTGGGTTAACTATTTCCTATTTTTTTATTAATACAAAAAGCATTGCCCAAACCTTTCTTGTACATAACAAAAATATTTGGTATTTCCTTTGGGTTAAATATCTTAAAACTAGAATTGCTGGTAAACGTTTTTGGTTCATATTGATAAATTATACTTTTTAAAAAAGAAATTCCACTTTATTTTCTCCTGGAAAACCCATTAGAGTGTCCATTCCCTTGTGTACTCAACAGCCCTGGACATTTTCTTTCTGGTACTGGAGACTGAACCAAGTGCTTTTTTACCACTGAGCTTCATCCATAGCCCTTTTTATTTTGAGACAGGATCTTGCTAAATTGCTGAGGCTGACCTTGAACTTGTGATCCTCCTGCCTCAGCTTTCTGAGTCATTGGGATCACAGGTGTGCCCCAATGTGCCTGGCTGACATACTTTTCCGTTGTTAGACTTCTTTTCTTGAATTCCTTTTCATGGGCTAGTAATGTGTGGCATAGGAATTCAGAGAGGAAAGAGAGGCTTATGGGGAAACATACTTACAGAGGGACAACTGTTTTTTTCTGTTAATCTCAGCAAAAGCACTGCCATTTTGTTGAGTGCGCTTGTGGAACCGCAGCCAGGTTCGTAGTTCTGTGTTTCAGTGAGAGCACTCACCAGGGCTTTTGTTTGCTCTTCTATCTTCTAGTGAGTAAACTCTCTACTGTGCCTGGAATCAGCAGTTTGCATGAAGTGCACATCTGGGAACTTATAAGTGGAAAGATCATTGCCACCCTGCACATCAAGTATCAGAAGGACAGGGGATATCAGGATGCCAGCACAAAAATTCGAGAAATTTTCCACAACGCAGGAATCCACAATGTGACCATCCAATTTGAAAATGTGGACGTGAAGGAATCCCTGGAGCAGAAGGACTTACTATTGCTCTGCAGCCACCCCTGTGTTTCCAACAGCTGTGCTAACAAGCTGTGCTGCCCCCCTGGGTCAGTGCCTCTGGCCCATGTCAATGGTTGTGCTGAGCACAATGGCGTTCCTCCTCTAGAGACATATTGTAGCAGAAGAGATACACCAGAAGTGGCTATTGAAGTGTCTCTGGATGGCTGCCTCAGTGACCATAGACAAGCTATTAACAAAACTCACGAGGACCAACATGATAACAGTACACATTTTTAACCTGGTACCCACATAAAGTCAGACTATTTAGACAAGGCACATTGGAATTGCCAACCTGGCCTGTGGAAAGAGCTTTGTGGGTTGTGGGCTCTGACCAAACTTGCAGTGTGTGCTCTTTGTGTTCAGTGAGGGTTGGCTGTTTGGGATTTTAGTGAAACATGTCTGTTGATTTTCATGTCACTGATGACCATTTTCCATCATCCTGGGTAACGACTGCTGCTCTTCAACAGTTTCAGTTTAAACATACATTTTCTGAAACAAACTGCACTAGAGTCAATGTCAATGTCAGGGACATTGAAGGGCTGGGGCTCAGTGACCGTGGACACAGATTTCAAAGTAGTTCTTGCTTTGTGTATGTGTATGTGGTGCTGGTGATAGATCCCAGGGCCTTGAACATATTAGGCAAGAGCTGTAAGACTGAACTGTAGATCTCCAATCCTTGTTTTCAAACTGATCAGAACTTTTTGCTGACTCTCAGGTGAGCTCATAGCCTAAGTACATAGAAAAAACTGATGTACCATGATAGCTATGTTTTCTCCCCCATGAAGATCATGAAAGAGGAAAACTAGATATTTCTGGTACTGCAGAAGTATCTTTGATTCAACTTGGATAAATGTAAAATAAATACCTGTTAAGGTATAAAATGTTCTCAAAGCATTAGAGGAGGTGGATTCTAGTGGGTAAGGAGAAAAATGTATTTTTTTTGGACCATCTTTTCAGTTTGTTAGGCTAAAGAAAACTAATGTTTACTTTCTGCTGGGAACTGATCTTTGGTTATAGCATGTTTTAGATGTTTAAATACCTTCTTTTCACTTGGAAGTATGGGAATACTTCTATTTCCTTATGTACTTATTTGCTATCATTTAGAGTCTCCAGTTGGGATTACTATCATGTATTGCTTTGATGATGATTTACTTATTTGTTAAAATTTCCTTAGAGTCTCTTTTTATATGATCACATTGATCTGTGTGACATTTACCAGGGGAAAATGAGTATTCCTGACATAGGAGAATGCGAGCTATTGAGTGCTTATTTCTGCCAAATAAATAAGCTATACTGATGTTCCTTTAATTAGACATGTTTTAAAGTATTTATTACAGTTGCCATATAGCAACTTGATGGAAAAGTTGATGTCTTAGTGAGAAACGAGAGTTAATTTAACTGCTGCTTTTAATGTGTTTTGAAGAGCTTAGTGTTTTCTTTTAGATCTCTGACTCATATTACCAAGTTCAAATAAAAAATTTATTATAATCTAATTTAGACACATAACTGAACTACATTAGTAGTGGAGAAGTATCTTTTGTGTATTTAACAGATTGTTTAGGTATTAGTATTTAAGCCAAACAGTCTCCTAGGTGTGTGAAATGGGAGGTCCCCTAGAGAGCCAGCATTTTCTTTGATAGGTTGTAAGACTGACTGAAAACTCTCCTTTTCTAGGTTGTAAGCTTTGAGTCCTGTTTGGAATCTGCACAGGCTTTATTAAAAGCGCTGGGATCATAACAAACAATATCTGCATTTTTTTTTTTATCACAGGCATCATTTTAAAAATATTTGTCTTTGTCAGGGAAGGTGGTGTACACCTGTAGTCCCAGCTACTCAGGAGGCTGAGCAGGAGAATCATTTGGGGCCCAGGGGAGTTTGAAGCCAGTTTGGGCAACACAGTGAGACCCTGACTCAAAAAAATAAAAATTTCTTGGTCTTAGTCCTAAAATTGAATGCTAGTAAGTAAACAGCTATGATCATGATGTAAGATAGAAAATTCTTTATTCTTTGCAAGTTTATTAGCTAAGTTTAAATTGGCTGTAAACAGGTACATAGAAAAATTCCTAAAAATGTGTTCATCTCTAGAAGTTTATTGAATTAGGTTATATGCACTTTATAAGTCGGGTGGGGGGTAAATAGTAAGACACCATTTCTATTTTTAGTATCAAAAGTGAGACATGTACTCTCACATAAACCAGAGGATTCTCTAAGAAACTCACCATAGTGAGATGTGAACCAAATTCTCCTACCTAAATATTGCTTGAGATGCCTTAGCTGGAGCCAAAGAAGAAATCTGTCTCTTACTTCCAAATTTGAAGGTCTAATTTGATTTCACACCATTTTCTCTTTATTAAAAGGGAAAAATTGTAATTTTGCAGTTTTTGTGCAGCTGGCTAAAGGAATGCATTTCAGCTTGTTTCTAAACAATGACCTTTACTTAATCTCTAAGGTATTTTTCTGGAAAGGAGAAAGCACTTAATTCCAACATAATTAAATATTACCTCAGAAAACTATCTTGATTGACACTTATAAATATCCCAAATTATGGGTGAGGGCCAGTGAAAAATAATGCCTTTTAAAGATAGTTTGGCTAAGTGCATTTAATAAAATCCAAACAAGCTGAATAAGTGCAGTTTTTAAAAATTGGGTTAGGCGAGTTGCATTTGTCACCTGCTGTATGGTACTTTAATTTGGGTTCTACTCTCCCTTCAGTTGTTCTCTCTTTGAATTCTCCCAAGGAAATGAAAGAGTTTTCTTTTTCCCTCTGAATCAGTGCTGTTTGATGATAGCTACATCTGATGAACAGTAGATTTAAAACAAGAGTTTTTTAGATTAGAGAAATACTGCCACTCAGTTTGTGTTCTTGTATGCTTAAAAGTTCATTCCAGAAAATGCTCTCCTTTTTTTTTAAGCATTTAATTACCCGCCCCCCCACCCAACCCCCTTCAGTGCTGGGTATCAAACAAAAGGGCTTGCACATGGTAGGCAAAGTTTCTGCCACTGAGCTAAACCCCTGGCCCTGAAAATGTTTTTTATAAAGTTTGTGGCATCCTTTGTGTGTCAGGTCAGAACCATTTTGTTCTGCATGCTAGTCTGGCTATTTATCCTTCTAGCACTTTCTATAGCTCTCTTGTCCTTCTCGTTCTATGGAACAAGTTCTTTCTATGGAACATTGTAGAAAGCACTAGAACTGCTAAAACTGCTTAATTTTCCAACTTTCCGCTTTGTTTTTGAAAATAGAGGCTGATTTTTTTTCCATGCTATTTGGCCGTTATGAATATTCACAAGGCCACTAGTCTCATTGTTGTCAGAAAAAAATACTGTCTAACTTTTTGATAAAATGTCAATAAAACAGGGAGATATTATTTGAGGATTTAATTTACTTAAGGCCTTCACAAATGCCTGTGCATACTAGGATGTAAAACAAAAAATTATTTTTTTAGTATGGGTTATGAGAAAAACATGTATGAAAGGCATCATTTTATATAATTCCAAGGGATTAATAGTGGTACTTCTCAGGAGGAAAACCTGAAATTGAAATTTAGAATTTACACGAGGCAGGATGTGCTTAGTAAGGCAGCTTCTCTGTGACAATCGAAGCTTCTGCTCTGTTTAAACCGGGCTTTTTTTTTTTTAATATTTATTTTTTAGTTTTAGGTGGACACAATATCTTTTATTTCATTTTTTTTATGTCGTGCTGAGAATCGAACCCAGTGCCTCACGCATGCTAGGCAAGCGCGCTACCACTTGAGCCACATCCCCAGCCCATAAACCAGGTTTTTCAATCTTGACATTATTGATATTTTCAACTGGACAATTCCTGATGTGTGGGGATGTCCTGTGTATTACAGGATGTTTAGCAACATCTCTGGCTTCTATTCATTTGATGCCAGTAGCATCTCCCTAAGTTGTGGCAGCTAGAAATGTCTGTGACATTGCCAGATGCCCTGTGGGGAAAATTTTTACCCCTAGTTCTGAACAACTGGCTTATACTAAGGGTCTTAGGGCTGTTGTTGATGAAGTCCCTCCAGAGCCCAATAGTACTTTTAATATCATCAGTTTTTCAGGATTCGCTCTTTAAAAATAGTGCTTATTTTATTTGTTGTGCTAGGGATCAAACCCAGGATCTTGCACATGCTAAACACGTGCTATGCCACTCAGTTACTCCCTCAGTCAAACAATGTTTTAAATGTTGAGATTAAACTATAAAAATGACTGGTTGTCTCTACCTAGGAATTTGGGGCATTTAAAGAAAAAAAATATAATTTTAAAAATCCTGCTATACCAATCCAACATTAGGATAATGAATGCAGTGAAAAGAAAACTATTTGCTCTCTGTTCTGTGATAATTTCTTCAACTCTTGGGTAGCTTCAATTTGATGAGCACACCATGAATGAGACTGGGTAATATCAGCACAATCGATTCTTGGGGTTAAAGTTTTAAGTTTTTCATATTTAAAATTCTCAATTTTAAACTCGATGTTTCTTGTTATTAGTTTTTGGTAAGGAGCTCATCTTAGTGCTTATGACAAGTTTAGACATTAAAACATTCTTCATCCTTTATGACTAGCTTAATCCCTTGCCAAATCCTATCTATTTTTTCTGAGGGGGCGACATATATTAACAGAATTTGGAAGTATCTTGCTTTTAAATGATTTTCATACTCTTGTAGTTCAAGACTGCAAATAAGACTAGTTTAGGAAAAATGGGGATACACTTCTTGATTTGGGTTTTTGTGTTTAGATAAATGATCTCTGACTGGATGTCTGTCCTATAGCTCTGCCTTTAACCTGATCAACTGTCATCTATTTGCACTTCTGAGTGTCTTTATACCCGAGTGGCCACAGTAGGAATGAAGTTATTGAATCAGGAAAATGGAACTTTCATCAGACCATAATTCTCACTGTAGTCCAAATGTTCTTATGGACTTGAAGTTTAGCTAATGTAGATGTGTTATTTTCTGGCACTTCTTTTACCAGGTGTTTTGTTGTTTACATGGAACTTTCTTGAATGCTTGCTAAATGATCAACTGTCACCTCTTCTACAAAGCCAGGCCAGCAACTCTGAACCTGTTCTGAATTCTAATGAGAACAACCCAGAAAGGTTGATTCACAAGGGAAAATGACCCCTTCTTGGAGGTTTGAGGTTATGTTACAATATTGTGGAGCTTTGTTGCTTAAAGTCCTCCTTCTATCTTCATACGCAATTTTGCTAAAGTGTAATCATTACATTTGGGA